GCGCGGCGCGGAGCGGGGCGCCTCTCGTAGCTCGCCGTTTCTTTTAGCCCCGCGCCAGGTTTACGCCAGACGCGGAGGGGGCGGAGCGAGCGCTGCCCGACGACGGCCACCCCGTCCCTCCCGCCGCCGACGGGGCCCCCTCCGCGGGGGTCCCCCCGCACCACGGCCGCCCCCTCCCGCCGGCCTTTGTCCGTCCCGGCGCCGACGGCTCTTAAGCCCGGCCGGCCCGGACAGCGCCAAAGCGGCTCCGCGCAGCCCCCGGCCCGGCCGAGCATTCCCCGCGCACCCGTAAGTACCTGCCCGCCCCCCCCGGGCCGCCCCCTCCGCACGTGCCCCCCGCCCGGCAGCCGCCGAGCGCCCCCCCGACGGCTCCGCTCGCGGGGCTCGAGGCCACAGGGCGCCGGCTGCGCTGCCGCGGGGCGGCGGCAGCTGCCGAGGGGTTTTTTTCGTTTGCTCCCCTCGCCAGCCCTCCTTTGGTGACAACGAAATGTCCCCGTGGGGCTTGTCCAACGGCCCTGGGAGGTGGCGGCRGGGAGGACACACGTCCCTAAGGTCCTTTGGAAGGGAGGGCACAGGCGGCAGTTGGGAAGGAGCCGAGGCACCGCCAACCCACCCCCCCGCACCCGCACCCGGCTGCCGCGGGGCGGCGGCGCCGTCGGGGCTGCGGACACCGGTGCGGCCGGGCAGTGCGGGGGGGCTGCCCCTTTCGGGCGGGTTTTGCATCTTTTTGCCTCCTTCGTGCGCGCGGTGAGACGGGGCGGCCGGGCAGCCTGCACCCCCGCTCAGCCCCGTGTCCATCCAAGCACCGCCGTGCGCAGGGGGAGCTCCCTGTTCATGCGACCTGTGCATGCAGATGCGTTCCCTTCCCTTTCCCCTTTCCCTTCCCCTYCCCACCATCCCCCCTTAAATCTATCGAGCCCCGATGCCCCTAAAATCACAAGGAATGAGCAGACCCTCACACGCATGGCGGGTGCTGCTGGCTGATCTGCCAGCACTTTATTCCATTCCCTATTTTTCCCTTCCAAAGTCTGAGCAGAATTCCTGCTGCTTGCACTCATTTTTATTTCCCTTACACACACAAATATATATATAATATATATAAAATATCTATATTTAAATATCCATATTTAGATAGATATTTATAGATTAAATATCTACATTTAAATATCTATATATATTTAAAGAATCCTGTCACGAATTTTAGTTAAAAAGCCACGAGAACAGTCCTGCTGTGGTGTTTTTCTCGATGCTCCGTCAGGATCCACGCCGGGGACTCTCGAGACACCGGCTCCATCTGCTCCTACCGCTCCTTGGCGGCCAGGAGATGCCCCCCCGCCACCCCGGCCGTGTTTCCATCCTTCCCAGTAGGGCCTTGGGAGCAGGATCTGTCCCAGATGMGGCCGAGAAAGGGGCGGGAGCCGCGGGGCGGCCGGGGACCTGGCACCGCTAACGCACGGACACCTCCAGCCGCTGCCCGCGAGCGGCTGGATTTAACCCCCTGTTCCATGCGGGGGGGGACAAAATAAGAACAATTTGCTCCAGCCGAGCAGAAAAGTGGAAGGAAGAGCAGGAGAGCAACAGGCAACGCTGAGGCTGGGCAAATTCGGGATGGGAATTGCAGCCTCCGAAGGACGGAGGTACCAAAGGAGCCTCCGGCTCTAGGAATTTCACTTTGCGGGGGTCCCCTGGGTGCAGCGGCCGCGGTTCAGGGGTGTGTTTGCCCAGGGCCGCTTGAAGGCTGGATCCGGGCTCTCTGTCAGCGGCTCCGCAGCTCCTGCGTGGAGCGGCCGCGGTGCCTCCGCGGGAGCCTGAATCCGCAGCGGCAACGCGGCAGGAAGCGGCCCGAGAAACGCAGGAGAAAAGAAACACAGAAGGAGGGAAAGAAGAAAAGCTGGAAAGCTGGGAGAAATTTTGGCAAAATCTGTAATGTTTCTTTTTTTTTTTTTTTCTTTCTTTTTTAATCATGGTGCATTTTTTTTTTTTTTAACAAAAATGATTACGTTGCAATGGGGACTTGCATCCCTCTCAAAGCAGGTGCTTCAGCTTCACTGAGACAAAGCACTTTTGCAAAGACGATGCCCCATATTTGGTTCTTTCTTTGGTTTCATGCAAATGAAACATCTAGGGTTTTTTTTACTTCACTATTTTATTTTAGCAGAAAACTAATACATGGCTGCATTTCATCCCAGCTTCAGCCTCCCTGGGTTTTCTGGTGGGAGAAAATGTTTCCATTCATTCGACTGTGCTTGAGCAATGCTAACAAAAATCCCTCAATTAATATGGCAAAAAAWGCACAAAACTCCCCCTCTCTCAGAGCAACTTCATTTATTGAATATATATTTTTCTAGTTTAATCATCATTACCTGGAAGGGACATGCAGAAAAGGACCATGTGCTCCCAAAACCTGGAAAGATAAAGTTTATGGAATTCAAGCAATTTCTATAATTTTAAAAGATTTTTTTWAAAATTATGAAATAAGGCACATAGTGATTTTTTTTTTAA